ACCCCCGACCCCCGATTTCTTTATTTATCTATTGTTTTTGAATATCATTTATCCATAGGAATTGGCCTCGGAGTTTCCTGGCGTTGTGTTTGCAAAAGTAAACATTGATAGGGGAAAGGTATGCTTATGAGGAGATTTGACGGCCAACAAAGTTTGCTGCCTCTGATTTTCCAAATTAAGTTATTCTTTTTTTCGAATTCTTGATTTATATTTCATAGGCCACGAGAGGAGTTCTTTGCTCGCAGCCTGCGCTTATCGCATGAGCCTTCCTATCACTAATTGACACATCAATTTTTTTCTCCTTTTTTCGTCTTGTGACAATGTTGGCTTACACCAACAATTAATTTTTGATTTCCCAGGAGCTGACCAAACACTATAGTATTACTTCCATTCCACATTTCAAGTTTTTCAAGGAAAAAAAGGTAATCAATTAAAACTATTTCACAGCAACTTGCCTCGTGTTCTTAAAAAAATTGTTGAAATGATTTATTCTTACTGATTTCCGTTCGTTTTATCAATTTTAGGAACTGGATAACCTCAGAGGTGCCGATGAAACACTTTTAAAACAAAAAATTGTGAAATGGCAGTGATGTACTGAAAGACAACTCCGCTTGAGATTGATTTTGCATTTTAGTTGCCTTGTCATCCGCTCAGTGAATTAATATTCGTCAATGTTTCAACCTGTGTATTTTAATTTATTCGTGTTTTTCTCGTTGCCATGTTCCCACCAATCACGTAGCTCCTTTTTCTGCCTTTAAAAGCACACACAACCCACAATTCCCCTATTCGCTCCGACGAAGGGCTAACGCTCGAAACGGCAGCTTTTATAATCGTAACGGTGGCCAATTTACCATTTCAACTTTGTTGATATATTCAAATTATTTCGTTAACCCCACCGACGCAGCCCTAAACAGTTTCTTTAGAAACTATCAGCCTTTATTCATGTGCATTTTAAGTTTATCTGGTTATTTCATGTAATTGCAAAGAGTTTATACACGCAGTCAAAAAAGGTCCAGCTATGATAGTCGTGTGATCAGCCTTTGCTCTAATATCATCTTCTTTTCTCGTATTTCAGTCTTACACCACTTCTTTGTCACATTGATCAAGCTGATGCTTTCTTTATAATCGTAGTATTTAACCCTTAAACTACTTAGTGTGTCTAGCTTACAATTTTTTCTTACGGTGTCACTCGTGAATCAAATGTAAACGTCACGAGAATAAAGGAATTGATCACCGATTCAAGAAGCTCTCACTGTTTCTGCCAAATTTAAAATATGCCCGTCGCGAGTTTCTTAATTAAAACACACGTTACTCTGTTTACATGTTTTATGGCGCTGTGTTTGACTTGAATTGAAGGCAACTGCCTGTCTGTGCAAATACATCATTGAGACGTTTTAAAAGAAAACAGCTCATCGACATTGAAAACTCTTACAAAAGTACACCACACTAGAAATTACGTTTGTTTGGCCTTTTGTTTTCATGTTTATTTCTCTTAATGGTATCGCGTAATTATTTGCAGCAGGCCCGTATGAAAGGATAATTTTTTTTCTCGTCCAATCAAAAGTGGGACTGCGCGCTGGACAGAATTTTATTGGCTCAGCTTTTCCGGAATAAACGTCACTTTCTTATTCACTGCAATAAAAACGAACTGTAACTTTCAACTGGAAAACATCTGGACCTAGATCAACAAAAGCGCTAACAACACAAATTTCAGTGTAGAGGAAAATATTTTTCAGGGAGAAGACCAAGGATTCCTGTAAATATTGAGATATTTCATTACGCGGAGCAAAGAGGTGGGTTCTTTTAAAAGGCGATGGTGTGGGTTCTTGCATTTCCGGCCCGCCTGGGTACGCATAAGCTAAATGTTGATATTGAGATGTTTTACGCTAACATAATTTAAGATATATATATTTTTTGTACAGGCCGGTTGTTCTGTATAGGATGTAAATAATGATAGTTTGAATTATCTTAATGACTTAGCCGTTTCTCTTTCAATTCCAAAGTAGAAAGCGTCAAGAATATTTGAATCCTTTTTATGATAAAAAAGCAAACTGCAAAAAGCCGGGGCTTCAATTTGAATAACATTAACATAAGTAATGCCTCTGTCATCTTTAATGATCTTTCTTTCGCGATAAATACGATATTTTGAATAAATTTGCAAGTGCGAGATATTATTCCTACAAATCGGCCGAAGCAAAAAGAAAGAAAAAATTTCAACGGAATGTTTCATCGGCATTTTCTGGAGAATCTCTCGGAAATTTTTCTCTTTGCTTTTGGCGTTCAACTCGTTTCAACCTAGCAGGGTGCGAAACAAACCATTTAATGTTAGAAAGCACGAGTTTGGTTTTAGTTGAGTCAATCTATCATATCAATTTTTTTTCCTCCAACATATACGTACCGGAATTCCTTATAGAATGAAGTTATTAATTCAACTGATACCTGAACGTTGCTCTGTAAATATAATTTCAGTAAAGCGCATCAGTCCTCAGCAATTTCTTTATTCTTCAAATCATAGATTCCTTACGAAAAAAAGAAAAAAAAAGAACCTGGAAAGTTCAATGCGTAATATTCATCTTTCATAACCTTATTTTAATTATTTCTCCTTTCTTCAAAGAATTAAATCTTCAAAGAATTGATCGATTACGCGATTGGCTCTCAAAACAATGGCTGGCCGGTAGTATAAGACACCAGTGAAATCTAAAACAGAAGGAGCCTTAGTGCATATAATGAGAACAGAAATTAAAGCTAGACTTGAAACTCACCGGCTGAATTTAACTCATATCAGTCAGCATTTTTCGTGTGAGCTCGCTTTTCATTTGTGATTTCCTTGGGTTTTTTTTTCTTCTGTGGTTGTCGTTCGAGCTCACTTAATTCATCCGTTCTTCGTAATTAAATGCAAACATCCTTTGTTCTGTCTTCAGTGTACACCTGCCTGTAATTTCTGTAAACTTTCCTCATTCTTTCAAAATCGTGTCCATTCGTTTTAGGTCGTTTCATTCGCTTACGTTCGTGGCTAGATCAAACGCGAATCGAGTCGTTCGTTTGAACATGTTTAAATTCGGGTATTCGTGTCCTGCTTTCGTTTTCATTCGTAACTCAACTCTGTTACGCTGTTTAATCAAATGCACTATCAAGTTCATCACCTCCCGATATGCTAAGAATGTCATGTCTTCTCGGTTTTCACCAAAATCTTGAGAGTAACCGTCTATTTTAATTTTATTTTATTTTTCATTGTCATCATCTTTTTGATGACAATTTATTGATTCTGTATGGAGAGATTACGTACCAGCCTCCCTCCAACCTCGTTCCTAGGGCCTTTTCCCTTGGTTGGGGGTGGAGTTGGGTGTGAGGCCCCACCCCCAGCTAAAGGAAAAGGCCCTGGAACGAGGTCGAGCCTCCCCTGTCCCCCTAGGATGAGGGGTTAGAACAGTGTGAGGTCAAACGTTGTTCTCTGACGCTTCAATCACCAATAAGTTCCTCGTTTGAATTCACTCATAAAGTCTTCAAGTCTTTTTCACTCAACAATAGAGAAATTTTCAATTTAGTTAATCTCAGATTGCATGGGGTTTACTTTATTCTGCTCTGTGATTGGTCCAGAAAGCTCACGTCATCTTCTAAACCAATGTGCGAAGCTAAAACCAATCGCGACTTGTTCACGCGCGTTTTCTCGCGCCGTTTTCCCGCGCTGTTTTCCCGCGCCGTTTTCCCGCACTGTTTTGCCGCACCTCAGGCAGTTTGCTTGTTTTTCCTTTGAGTTCTCGTTGGTACCATGTGACATTCACTTTTGTTCTTCTTGGCTGTTACTCTAGTTTTGATTTTACGAGACTCAATCGAAATGTGATCGTTTACGGGATTTGCGTGAAATCAAAATTAATGGGTAAATTTATTCTTTGTACTCAGCCTTAAATATTTCCAAAATGCAATAGATACGACTTTATGGTTGTCGACGAAATTATGGTCCCGATAACAACGGCATTAAAGTTATCAACGGTAATGTCTATAATTGGTTTTTGGAGTGATTTTTAATCAGCGTAAATAAACACTTGAAGAGGTATAAGTAGTCAGTGGGATTATTAGTTGATCCAATGCCAAAATCTCCGAACTAATATCATAGGAATTGTTTGACAGACAGTAAGGAGAATTACTCATTAGATCTTAGGAGAGAAAGGGTTGAAAAAGAACTGATTTTTCTTCAAGTTTAGCCAAAAGAAAAAAAATTGGTTTGGAAAAATAACGGGAAAGACAAACAATAATCTAAAACAAGTCAAGGATAGAGAAAATTGAAAAGATTACAAACCACAAACTTGAAAAGACTCTTCAATATTCACAGACAGTGACGTAGTTTCAAATTATATGGTAATCTTTTAGGCTTGTTCATGCACCGCCAATTCCGCATTCGACAAACAACACGCCAATTTTGTTTCCCTTCAAGACTGCGTCATTCTCCTAAGATTTACTAGAAAATATCATAACTTTTCAGCAACTACTATAAGGAAATGGAGGAATTCACTGATACGGTGAGTTGTGTTGTTCAGTGATAAATGAAATACGTCAGTTAAATAACTTAAATCTCGGTTATTTACGGGAATTCAGTTGTTGACTCAATATCGAGTAATAAACCAGCTGTTTTAACACTATTCACTAAACGATGGGCTGTAAAACTAGACACTCAAATGGATCGAGCGGTTTTTCATTTGAAAGTTCACAAGTACAACAGGCTGAAATTTAGAAAAAAAAAATGAGCTTTTTTGACTCATGCTGGCGATTTGATCACCGAATTTCCATTTACACTTTTTGATTCTGTTCCTTGTTCTCGCCTATTCTATTTAGTACTATTACTGATTCAAAACATCGATGAACTTGAGATTTCAGACTGTTAAAAATGACACGTGTTTCATTTGACAAAAAACTTCCAATCGAAATTAAACTTAACACGTCAAACGAATTGCATTTGCTGCTATGTTTTTTTAATCAAATCTTTATATTTTTATGCAAAAGAAGTAAGCTACATCATGATTTACAATGACATGTGTGAGTGTAGGATAGATTTCCTGCTAAAATGTTGCATACAAAATTGGATTTATTTACGATTTTCTCAGTAAAAGGCTGTACTTTGACATGATTCGTGTGCACGCGAACGAGATTAGCGAAATATTAAGAGTAATTCCAGGACTTTCAGCGATTCAATATGAGAGGGATGTCGGACTCGTTCTCAGTCATCTCTCGTTTGTTTCTGGAGGCGCGCGAGTGAGACGGGAATGTGCTTGAGAGGCCGGCACGCAACGAAGGAGACGGCGGGAAGTATTTTCTCGCCATCTCTCCTTGCGCGCCTGTGAAGTGATAAAGAAAAAATTTTCCAACTAATCCCGCTCATACTTAGCTCATTTTCAAATTATTTATTGTCATTTTTTTTTTCTTATTCTATAGGAGGAATATGCACAATTCTTACAAAGTCCAAACAACAAAGATAAACTGATAGTAATCGACTTTTATGCGGATTGGTGTGGTCCGTGTAGAAAAATCAAACCAGCCTTAAGGGTAAGTGATGAGTAAAGAAAGGACGCTAGGAAGACCAGGGGGGCAGTTTTAAGGGACACGTGAACCGTACCTCTCTCGTCTGGTATCAAGTTTTGTTATGAATGGGGTAAAACACTCTGACATCCTTCTAAATTCCAATATAACGTTGATGCATGAGACCCCCCTCCGCTTGCACTAGTTCTTATTGCAGTTTGGTCATTCTACGGTTTGTAATTGAGTTAAAGAACCTGCGATAGCTCAACCAATGAGATGCAAGGACACAACAAGCTGCACGCATTTTCCCGTACTTCGTTCTTGGCAATGCATTTGCTCCAAGTAAACATTTCTAGTTCAGTTGTCTTGAATGTAATATGTCTATCATTGTGTGTTGACGAAAATTCCTGCTTGAAAGATTAGTAAAGAAAATTTCTATTTTTTTTTAACAGAAACTCGCTACTAAGTATCCTGATGTAATCTTTGCAAAAGTTGATGTTGACGATGCTGAAGTAAGTGAACACCCAATGAACAGAAAGAGAAAAATAACGAATTTGAATATCTGCATGAAAAAAAATTGTTTACTTTAATAATAGTTGATATAAGCAATAAGATGTTTATGGTCCAGATAACACGTGACAACACGTGATAACACCTGACGTCTCGTTTCTGTAGCTCAGTGGTAGAACATGGGAGAGCGCGAAATCAGATTTGAACTTCGATTCCTCGTGAGAGACTCAATTGTTTCTCTTTATCCCACGCTCTTGACCAAGAGATCAACAGCTTTCTTAGTATTTTGTCGCAGTCTCTGCTGTTGCTGTTTTCTTTTTTTCTGTTAGTAAATGACATCAGTAAATCACGATGGCCTTGAATGAATACAAAGGGCACGTCATTGTACGATCGTTATTTCTTCAATTGTTTTGTCTTTGTAGGCCATAGCCGAGTCGGAAGGCGTAGAAGTCATGCCTACTTTTGTTTTTTACAAAAATGGAATGAAGGTAATTGGATAAAGGCACTTAAGAGAACTTAACTATATTCTGATATCATTAGGTTAGACTTATTGCAAACCATCAGGGTTAAAAGGCGTTCATCGTTCATCGTTAAAAGCTTTTATGGAAATTCTAAGTTTTATCTTTCTTGGCAAACGATCACATCATTTTGGTGGAGTGCAATTTGTGCTATTTGCACTTAATTCCAAGACAAATCTATCCAATAAATTAATTCAAAATGTCGTAAGTATACGATAGCTTTAACTGACATGTAACTACAGAAAACGGGTTTTAACACTATCAGTGTCAAAGTAAGCGGGCATGCTCCGCTAGCACAGACAGAGGCATTCAGCGTGCAGAATGACCGCATTCTCAAAGGTCGGATCATTCTCCGTCGTTCGCATGGTTGATTTCCTATTCTGTTGCTTCGAGGTGCGTTTCCTTGCCGCTTTTGTTTTACAGAACAACCTCCAAAAACTTGATACACCCCCCTAAAAATTTTCAAAACTTAGTTTTCTCCTTAAAACCTCTGGAAGTAGGAAAATGTCTTCGACGAAAATAGAGTTCCTCGGTTTTAAAAGACAGCCCTTATTATTTTCATTATTACCCTTATTATTTATACAACGTTACTTTAAACATACCCTCTGATGTGAGCATTTCATTATTCAGCTCTGTCCGGGTAACAAGCATCTAATTTCTCACTAAGGTAGCATAACTGACCATAGGCTTGTGAAATTTAATGATATGTTCGCAAGCCTGAAAAAGTCTTGATTTTTAACTTAATTCTCCTTGCCAGTACCGTATGATATGTATAAGGAGCAGTAGGGAGATTAGAAACTATTTGACTATTTGACTGACACTATTTCTTTTTTTTTTTTTATTTATTCCAGTTACATGTATTCAGTGGATCAAACGAAAAGGACTTAGAGGATAAAATAAAAGAACTTAAGTAGTATTCGCTCATACACTTGACAAGGATACAACGTTACTTTAAACTTTCCGTCTCTGTTCTGGACCAAGATTTACTCATATACTGATTTCAATGGACCTGATGTTGTTGTTGTAATTTGTGTAGGAATTCGACTCATGATCTTTATTGATTAAGTGCCCAGGCTTACTATTTTGTACCTGGGTCAGGATAACCAAAGCGAACTGGCGCGAGCCTGTGCTGGTGACTTGGCGAACACCCTGTTCGTCTCCACATTATATATAGAAGCCTGCGGATGCAATCCCATCCCACTTCCATACCCTCATCGATGAGTTATATTGATGTACGACCATTTCGAAAACAGATAAAACTGGGTGACGAGTTTGGTTCGTGGGGAAGAGAGAGGGCAGTTGGGGGGAGGGGTAGGGGGCTGTGTTAGAGGAAGAGGGGGTAGTCACAGTGAATTGAAAGCTTCTCTCAGAATCTGAAATTTATGTCGTGTGTCTATATTTCCCTCATACCTCTATCTGCGTCTTCAGTCATGAACCTGGGAGGGAAAAGGGAAAAGGAATACATGAAAAGATTGAGGGAAAACAATTAAAGAAGATCATTTAGCTGAAATAAAATTTTTAAGTTTTTCGTTTGTAAGTACAGTGGGCTGTAGTTGTAGTTCTCTTTTTATTGTGGTAATGAATAAAGTGGGTACTGTTGTATCAGAATCGTCGATGCTCTTTCCAATAAAACTGAGAACACAGACGATGTAATTGCATTGTTATTATTAAGTATTCTAACCCTTTGCATCTTTATTTCACGTTGCATATTCCTCATGCTATTTTCCATGCATTTGCAATGGTGCTGGCATGGAGCTTCTTTAGTTGGGACCATAATGTGTAATTCGGGGAAAGAGATTATAAACTGTTTATAATCTACTAGTACTACTAAAACAGTGGGTAGCCTTGAAGGCACGCTCTGATTGGCTAGTCAAACTCTGAATATCCTTTGCTATTTACCTCAGCTCCGAGCAACTCGGGAAAAAACGGCGTCCCGGTTTGCATGCGTGACAAGCGAAGAAATCACTCAAATTAACGACGGTGGTGTATATTATCTCACTGTTTTATTCGCGGCTCGGTAAATATCCACCGCTAACCACCGACACAGAGGTGAATAGTTGTTAATTATTCGTGGTAATATTGTAAGGGGAATCGAATGCTGATCACTCTAGGGTTTTTTTTTTTTCTACATGAGCTCGTATTTGAGAGTGAGATACTTTTGTTTCTTTACTAACACATGTCAAAAGACGTTTTTGCTTCCGTAAATTTAGAAAAGACACACCCTGCCCATGAACCTTTTTCGCCCATGAACGTGTTTCTTTTGCTGGTGTTTACCAGTTTTTATACTCAAAACATTTTAACAACTCGAATAGATATATGATCGATATGTCTGTTCAAACTAGATTTCTAATTTCTTATTTGAACGAGTTTATACCAGTGTAATATACTTGCACATCAGTATATCTTCCCATTATACCACAGGTGGCCCAAGCTCTCTTTGAGAACCACACAAGAAACATAATTTGCATATTTATAAGGATCTCTATGGGATTTTCTACAAGATATCCATAGAGATATTTAAAAGTGAAAATATTATATTAAATAAAAATGGCTTACCTTATTCCATACGTGTGCTGTTTGCTCTTGGTGTCGTTATTTTACCGATTTCACTTCCCGACACCTTTCTAAGGGTTGTTGTCTGTATTGTTCTGTCTGCAATATCTCCTCTACCGACACTATCAGACCCTAAACTTAAGTTGTTTTCAAAAGCATTCTTCTGCATGAGTTACTTTTGGACTATCCCCAGACCTTCTCGCGTTCACGATCTCCACGCTTCTCTTGACCAAAAGTATCCCCTCTCTCTCCCTCCCTAAGTAATTATCTAATGCCTAGTTGATTTCCTCGGATGTTCCTCCGTCCCTATTTGCTTCTTTCCCTGCTCTGAAGGTTTCCCTTTTTTACTTCGGGGGAACTCGACGCGATGTAAGATGGGTTTTCATCCCCGTTTTCAGTCAGGGAGAAAAATGTCCTTAGACTTTGGTTACTTTCTTTATAATCCCTTGATAGAGTATAGAGGAAAGACAAAGATATCTTTTATCCATCCTCGGAGACCCAGGGGCTGTAAGTCGATTTCAAGTCGACTCACAGCCCCTGGGTCTCCGAGGATGGCTTTTATCAGGAGCGCGCACTCAAATTCCTGAATCTTATAATTCAAGATGGTGATCTCTTCTTGAAATCAGAGCGCAGCATTATCATTAATTCAAAGAGCAACTTTATTCAGTCAAATAACTCACTTTCATCACAACAAGTGGAGATATGTTCATATTATTATTGGACAAATGGTTGAAATGCAAACAAAAAAAACAGCAACTACCTTCTTCCCTCTTTTCCATTAACGCAAACAAGGCACCGTCTCCCTACAAATGCGCGCCGTCTGCTACCGTTTTTCGCTATGGTTTTTTTCACGTCAAAACAACTGGATGTACCCGCAAATTATTTCGGTGAATCATTAAAAAAGAAATGGGTTTGCCAGTATATACTTTAATTTGACTTTATTAAAGCTTCCAATTTCTCAAATTTTGTTTGTAGGGCGGGTGCTGGGAAAGATAATCATTTGCATATTCCACATGTTGACTTCTGACGTAGTGTCTTGTTATTGGTCACTTAGCCTGGAATCAATATTCATGATTTGGCCCAAGTGCGTCATTTTGAGTAAAACGCTAAAGTGTGAGGATGTCCATTTGGTTTCTCTCTCTCAAGACGAATTTGGGGCTTTGGAAGGAAATAAAATGTTCATGCCTTCGGACTTAACCTTCACGTTAACAAAAAGGTGAGCACCTTTAAATCTTTATCAGCCTCTAACAAATTCTAGAATTTATATCTCGTAGTTAAGACACGTTAGTTCTAAATATTCCTTCGAAACCTAGACATTTAAGAACGACTTGAAGATTAGCAAGAGTAAAGTACCAAACTTTGTCACCGAACAGATTTATTTCGTACACAGGTTTTTTAGTCTGCCAAATCAGTTCACATAAAACATTACGCGGCCACCTACATAAGCTGAACGAACTCTAGTATTCCCTCACTTTAACGATTCAATTCAGAATTCTTCTATTCAACCGTTAAAAATGCAAGTACATAGCTTCTCTAAACTTTCTCAAAAGTGGTAAGAGCTGCTTCAGTAAATGAAACTATAAAAGTGTCTAATTTTCGGCCAAGCATACTCCATTCGCTTTTTCCGACATCAAAACTTCAAATTAAAGTCTCCCCTTCTCTTCGTTCGTTTCAGGAATCGTAACTTCAGATTTAATTTAAATGAGTAATTTTCCGTTTTGTATGAGGCCTTTAGATTTACTTAATAGTTAATTTTGTCATTCCTGTATCTTATTTCTAGAAGAAGAGCTAAAGAAATGAGATGACTTGGATTTTAAGTCGACAACGACATTCGGGTGGAGGATCTAACAGAACTATAACTTGCAAGACAAGATAGAGATAAGAATTTTATTTATTATGCACACTCCCTGGAAAATTGTGGCTTAATTAATTCTGCTATCGCTAAATTTTTGAGAGAAGGCCTTTGGGAATAATTTAAAATCTGGCACCTATTGACAACCGATACTGAAATCAACTATCAAGGAAAACGGAACGGTGGAATTCACAACGGAATTTCTGCATTTTAAATTTTTATCAATTTAAAAATTTATTCAAATAAAATCTCTTACTTTCATCATCTATTTTAGCCACTGCTTTTCAAGGAGAGTAATTAATATATTAAAACTAAGTGGAGGGATTTTCCCAAATTAATGTTTAAAGTGGCACTGTAGCAACTACCCCACAAGGTTCTTTTAAGAATTCTGTGCTGATTGTGCACGCCGCATAGAAAAGTCTATTACGTTTTCTCCAATGAAGAGAATTTTTTCCAAAAATTATCTAAGCCCAAAATGACAGAACGACAACTAACAAACAAAAGCAAGATCGATTTGGATCATTTAAAACTAACCGATCAAAATGAATGACTTTTTACTAGAAGCAGACGATGATCACGACTTCTCAGATCGTGAAACGTCTGTCATTGTTCTGACAACTGTCATTTTCATGCCTGGGCTACCATCACCATTTTACTACCGAACGATAAAGGGAGGGACTAAAACCATGGAAAGGGGTCGACGCTTCGCTAAGGCCAGTCTGACAAACCATACTGTACAGTTGAAAAGATTCTCGACGACTGAGTCTTCGAAAGCAAACGCAAATTTCAATAACTGACACTTTGAAACAAATTCAGTTGACACAACTGATTGATCACGAACGGTAAAGACGAAAATGGTCGACTGACATAACTTTTGCTAAGATTGATTAGTTGGGACAACGATAATCACCGACAAACATCTTGATTCGAAACAGCTTAAAAGCCACACAGTAAACTACGAATCAACCAAACAGTTGTTAGAGCACAGACACGATACGTGACAAACGACTTGGTTCTCATTTGACCCAGAAGAGAATTTCAAAACATCAGTTACAAACAAGACTTGACGTTAATTTTGATTCAAAATACATTGGCATGAACAATTTGACAAAAGAAAGCTATAAACCAAATATGCAAATATAAACATTTGAACGTGGATTCAAAGGTATTGACTCTTACAGTGCCACTTTAAAACTTTCATTTTTGTTGATTTTGATTACGTCCTATTCTTTTAGAAGTACTTCAGAGAATGTTTACACAGCGATGATGAAAAATACTCCAAATACCTTCTAATTGGCCTTCTGGTAGTATAGACCACACAGATCCTTAGCAATATTTTTATCTTACGAATTGTACCTGTGTTAGCTGATGCTTCGTTGACATCACATACAGTACTTGCCACAAACTACATCATGTTACTCCAACTCAACCATGCCCCGCCAAAATACAACTGAGAAACACTACGTCAAGGTAAATTACATTGAATCACTCAGCCAAGATGTACAACGATGATCATACTATACCAGCCGAAAAAAGCCATAGTTTACATCACACTCGACCAAACAAGCCCAACTCCATTGGCTGAAACACAAATACACGTCTAGACACCAACTACATAAAAATATTTCGATACATATTATCTTATTAACCAAGCGCGAGGGCCGTACTGGGAGAATATCGGCCCGAGGTCCTGACAGTACGGACCGAGCGCAGCGAGGTCCGTACAAAAAAGACCGAGGGCCGATATTCTTCCAGTACGGTCCCGAGCAAGCGTGGTTAATAAGAGATTTATTATACGACTGAAGTTCAAAGGGACACAAGTGCGGTATCATTCGGGACCATTCGGGACAGTGCCCGGTCCAATACTTAGAGAATATTGGACCGGCAATAGAGCATTTTGATTGGTTGATTTTAGTTATTGGCCCTCTGACTGCCCGAGTCGTGTAATAAAACAAAGTAATTAAAACAAAACGATAACAACAAGTACGATCATTGTGGTTGTAAATACACCAGATTAAACTCCACTCTGCACACCTGTTTAAGTCAAACCTCATCGTACAACATCAACCACACAAGTACAATTATTTCGTAAGATAGGTCGTTACCAACACATTTTTAAAAGTGATTTACTGTAACACACTTGTTTTGTACAATGAGTGTTTCAAGGAAAACAATTTTTCCATTTATAATACTGTCGACCGAAGAGAACTGCACTAAAGGCTTTTATCTGATTTATAAACCGAGAGAATCAAATAGTCGCCATTTCAAGTTTGATAGGCCATAACAAGTGAGCCGTTACCTTAATTTTCAATTGTGGATTAATTCAGATTTTGTCAAATTAATTCCTATGGTGAGAATTTGCTGAATCTTTGAAAAGTCACGAAAAGATCCCTCTTACATTTTCTAAATAAAATTGTTTTGGTCGGTCGTTGAATACATATCTGTGATTTATCGAATATCGTTTCACAGCTTCATGTAGCGATAGTCAAGACGTCAAACACTCTGTAAACAAAACGTTTGAGGTTAAAAGATTACGATGCAACCTAGGGTTTTACTATGCTTTCTGTGGTCGATAACAGTCTCTGAATTTTTATCGTTCAATATTTAGAGTTGAAGAGTTAAGCTTTGCTGTTTCAACAAGAAATCAAAAGGGCAAAAGTTACCAAAAATAGATCGAAAACCTTAAAAAATACAAAACGCTCTAAAAATTTGAAAGGGACTAGCTAAATTCCGACCGAATGTCTTGAACATTTGTCAACATGAAGATTAAGGTAGAAATCATATTCGGAACGAATTCTCTTGAACATTTAACAATGAAAATACTCGGGGAAAGGAATAAGTATGAACAAAAAACCGATTTGGAAAACATTTTTGCCCTTAATAATATTTCTGTTAAACAGCAATGGTCTTAGAAATTTTTATATTCAGCATGTTTTAAAGGGCAACATGGCAAACTTCACAGTTCCAATAAAATTATTGAAAGTCAAAGACAATTCACTTTGATAAAATCAGAAAACAAATAAGCAGAAAATTTTTAGAAACCAAAGAGTTTACCTTCGCAAAATTCGGCAAAAAATAAAAAAACGGCTTACCTCTGAGAAATTGGATAAAATAATTGGCAATTAAACTGATAGGTTTGGCTAATCTCGGAAAAGTTTGTCATCTTGCCTCTTTCAACTACACGTTATATACCTAACAACATCTTAAGCAAAATCCAACTCTGGAAAGTAATTGCATCGCGGAAAAGGTAATTTCTTTGAGTTAAAAAACAATGTTTGGCAAAATTGAAACTTTTGTTTGAGATGGCGAAGCAGTCATTTTGGCGGGAAAAATTTTAAAGACGAGTCTTATCAATTTTTGCGAAGAAATGTGGTCACGGAAACTCTGTGCAAATTGGTCCAAATTTTCCCGCCAAAAAACTTAGTATATTTTTGAAGAAATACTTAGAATACTTGTTTACACATTGTATGAAGAAAAGACATGAAGGCAATAAAGAATTTGACACAAATAGACCAGTGTTTGAACAATACCTTTTATTGAGCTAAGAAATAATAAATGACTACAAATAATGAACACCAGCCAAAAAGAAAAAATCCGGCGCATGCGTATATGGAAGCACCGTATTTATCTAAGTTTTTCGGCGGGAAAATTGAAGAGTTTTGAAAAGGGGTTTCCTACGAAAAGACTTTGCAAAAAAAAAAAAAAAAAAAAACTTGCAGAGGCAATACAGATACTTAGCTGAGTGGATACGCCCTTCGATATCAATTGGCATCCATAATTGACCATAGGCTTTCGAACTGGTTTCTGCAGGAACATTTCTTTCGAGTCTCCAAGAAAAACAGAGGCAATAAAGATACTTAGCTGGGTAACTACGACAAAATCAGAATTTTTCTTGATACGCTCTTCGATATCAATTGGCATCCCATAATTGACTAAATGCTTGCAAACTGGTATCTTCGTCAACTTCTGCCGGAAATGTTTTTCGAGTCTCAGCGAAAAACTTTTGCGGAAGTTAAGTTCTTGACTTGCCAAGGATAAAGTGTTTTCCATCGCATTGGCTTCGTGTTCCAGTTGCTTATGATCTGATACTTCAATAGGCAGTTTTCTTGTGCACAGCTTCCGAGAGAGAAAGAGAAAAAAAAAAATGATAAGTAAACAAATAAGGACGAGAATTGAAATTTACTTCATAGTTTATATTCGCAATCAACCAAAATAGTTTTTCCAATGAAAGATTAACCTACCTCTGCTCAAGAGTCAAATGGTTTCCCCCCATTTTGTTTCTTCCTCCATTTTCTTGTGAGAAAGTCGCAATCTTTTCTAGAAATGCTGCAACAGAAAAATAAAAATTCAACTGGAATGCAACAAATGATTTCTTTGACATTCATTTTCACTAGGAATAAAACAGAACCCTGTCACTTATGAGCGAATCGATGCTGTATAACGTCGATGAAAGCTGGCTGGCTGGCTGGCTGGCTGCTGACTGCTATCCAGCATTTATTCTCAGATTACTTTTTAAGTGGATGAAGTTTCTGTTTGAATGATTGATCATGGTGCACTATGATTCCAAGAAAGGTTTGTCATCAAGATTACTATCCATTCTTAATTTTAAAAACCTGTTACCTTCATGAGTGACAAAGAACAAACAAATCACAAGAAGAAAGCCTAGGAAAAGAAAAGCGATAAAACAAAAAGAAAATTCACAGGTTCTTGCAGGTAAGGCAAACTTTACTTAGAGCAAGAATTAAATATTCCGTGAGAATTGTACTTTATCAAACAATGTTACAGCTTCGCAAAAACTTGTTGAAAATATTTTCAAAACAAAATATACATGGAAATTCTCGACAGTTTGTATTCGTGTAGTTGCACGAATATGTTTATGGAAAAACTGCAGAGGTAAAATTTCTGGAATTCACACACCTCACAGCTATTTAGAATTAAAAAAAAAATCCTTGCAGGTTTTCGCGATGTATCTTTGAATAGGAAATGTTTCCTCATGTTGCAAGTACCTATTTTGTAAAGACATGAACAATGGCATCCCTTTGGCGCGTTTTTCTGCGGACATTATTTGTCACGAGATGCGAACATTTTTCCGAGAGAGCAGTATTTATTATCCTACGAAGGTTTTTGCAACAGGCGGGAAATATTGTCTACAAGCAGCTTACCGTTTACAGCGTTCTCTGGTTCGACTTAATGAACACAGAAGCACGTCTCTTCTTCTGTAAAAATCAGCGAAACGCTCTCCCATCTGGAATTAAATTTTAAAAGGACTTAGCGTAATGGACGGTCACATAGTGTTAAGGCCAACTGAGCGCGAGAAAAAATATTTGATGGATTACAATTCCAATTGTCTCTCAGGAATCTTATTCAATTTCGAAAATCATACTATTAACTATGCGAAAATCTAACAGCTTCTTCCATATCTTAAGTGGCACTTTTTAAGAAATAGCGGTGGAACGTCAAGGAATCAGCTACTGTAAACACGAAAAGTTGATACAGTACAGACCGCAGGAATAGCAGCACCTACACGCACGTTACGCGCGCGTAAAATTTACACTAATTATTACACGCAGTCTACGCGTAATTTGACTCAAGGAAAAGTTGCCATATCCATTGCAAGCGGCTTGTGAGCATTTTCCACTTAGCAGTGTACGTGAATTTAAAAATTGCAGTTAGAATCTCCGAGTCCATATTTCTGATTGAGAAATTCAGCCCTGCTTGTGTGTTCTTAGGGGAAGGTTTTATCTTCGGACTGCTGCCGTAATCCGTCGTCTCTCTCACTTCAAACCACGTTATGTGAAATTTCCTATATTGGGTATCCCTTATTCAATCGATTACAAATCAAAAGTTTTGGTCGCAATGAGCGAACGATCAATGGAAATGCCTGACGTCATGTGACATTACAGTAAATGTGCCCCTGAACCTGAAGAGTCAGTCAGTCAGTCTATTAGTCAGTCAGTCAGCCAATCAGTCAGTCAGTCAGTCTGTCAGTGTGTCATTCATTTAGTCAATCAGTCAGTCAGTCAGCCAATCAGTCAGTCCGTCAGCCAGCCAGTCAGTCTGTCAGTGTGTGATTTAGTCAATCAGTCAGTCAGTCAGCCAGTCAGTCTGTCATTCATTTAGTCAATCAGTCAGTCAGTCAGCCAATCAGTCAGTCAGTCTGTCAGTGTGTCATTCATTTAGTCAATCAGTCAGTCAGTCAGCCAATCAGTCAGTCAGTCAGCCAGCCAGTCAGTCCGTCATTCATTTAGTCAATCAGTCAGTCAGTCAGCCAATCAGTCAGCCAGCCAGTCAGTCTGTCAGTGTGTCATTCATTTAGTCAATCAGTCAGTCAGCCACTCAGTCGGTCAGGCATACAGTTTGTCTCTTCATTGGCCCATTATTTTAAGTCTGCTAGTCAGATAGTACATGGTTGCCACAGACAAGTCTTTCAATTCCTTCAACAAATTCCCTATCAAAATTAAGTTGTACTGCCCCTCACTAGTATGTTTTCTACAAATCAAAAATAAAAAAAGACTTTGGTCCATTTTATGACAGGAAAATGGAAGTATCACACTGCTGTGCTTTTGACATTCTTTGAATTTCCTTCAAAATTTTAATTTTTTTTTTTTTTTTGAAATTGAGTTTCTGTAATTCCCAAGCCTTTAAGAAATTGTCTGGTTCATTTGCTGACCTGTGGCAATTTATTTAGGCATGCAGTTGTAAAACAAAAAAGTACAACCAGGTCAGTCACTTTGAGTTGCAGAATCACTCAAATAATAAATTAATTTTATTATGGAATGAATATTCACTCGAAAGGATTCTAGTAGGCAATTTAATGTTTCCACTTTTCATTTATTTTGCAACAGTTGACTGATTGAGGTATGAATGGACCACTCAAGCCTTACAGCTGTATTTACCTGGCTCAGCTGGCTCAACAACAAGAACGGCAACAACAGTCTCTTCTTATCACACATTTCACAATCAGAGAAGCCATTGACTCTCTGGTAGGGTGACTTTGTATATCCAAATGATTGCCTGCCAGCCAGCCTTGATGACTATTCATCAGTTGGTCGGTCACTTTGTGAGCCTGTCAGTCAATCAGTTGCTTTGTCAGCCGGTCATCCAGTCAGTCAATCAGTTACTTCTTAGCCACTTTGTCAGACAGTCATTTGTCATTAAGCCACTCAGTGAGTCAATTTGTCAGTTAGTCAACCAGCAGTCAATCAGTCAGTCCAGTCTATCAGCCAATAAGTGAGTTGTTAGACACTCAATTTTTTAATCAATGGGCTAGACAGCTAGTCTGTTATCATGCAGTCAGTCATTGAGACAGTCAACCAGCAAGCCAGTTGGTCAATCAATCAGTCAGTTAGTCACTTTGTTACTCAGCCAGACAATTAGTTGGTGGGTAAACCAGATGGTCACACAATCAGTAAGTCAGCCAGCCAGTCCAACAGTTAATCAGTCAGAAAAAGAGAAGTCAGACAGTCAACCTCTTAATAACATACAGGTAATGTAGATGTAGTTAACCATCCAACAGTCAGTCAGTCAACCAGCCAGCCAGTCTATCATATCAACCAGCCAGTGAGTGAGTGAGTCAGTCAGTTGTTCAATCAGCCGGTGAGACAATCAGTCTGTTATTTTATAATGCAGTCAGTCATTGAGATCATCAACCAGCCAGACAGTTGGTCAATCAAACACTCAGTCTGTTTGTCAACCAGTCAATCAGTTGGTACGTCAATCAGATCGTCATGCAATTAGTAAGCCAACTAGCCAGTCTGAAAGTTTATCAGTCAGCCAAAGAGACAGAAAGTCAGTCAGTCAGTCAGTCAGTCAGTCAGTCAATCTCTTAACAAAATGTATGTAATGTAGTTAACCATCCAATATTCAGTCACTCAATCACAACAACCAGACACACAGTCTGTCAATCTCTTACGAACATGCCGGTAATGAGTTTAACCATCCAGTAGTCAAGTCAGTCAATCTCTTAACAACATGTAAGTACTGCAGTTAACTATCCAATAGTCAGTCAGTCAGTCAGTGAATCTCTTAAAAACATGTTAGCAATGAAGTTAACCATCCAATATTCAGTCAGTCATTCAGTCAATCTCTTAACAACATTTAGATAATGAAATTAACCATCCACTAGTCAATCAGTCAGTCACAGTCAATCAGACAGACAGTCAACCAGAAAGGTAGAAGTCAATCATCCTGTCTATCTCCCTCATGATCAACTACTTTTTGTTGAAAATGCTTCATTTGTAGGCAGTTCCCTATACTAGAATTGTTTTGCATTATCAGCTTTCAAACTCATCCAAGATTTCTAGAATTCAACAATTCCCAACTGGGCTTGACATGCTTTCTTGTTACAGTTTTCTTTCCCAGATGCATGTTCATTTATGTATCTGGTAACGCACACTTTTTTGGAATAGCAAATCAGACAGTCAACTGCTACAAAGAAATCCTATGAAAAGTGACACAGAAATCAACTGTTCATTGATGCACTGCTTGTCTGAGGTGAATTTCAAGCTTAACGTATTTATCAATGTATAAGTCAAACCCATGTAGAAGTCAACCCCCATTTTCAAGGTCAAAAATTGGATTTTTCATCATTTCTAGTTAAAGAAAAATTCAAACTGATAAAAATTTTCCCAATGGTTGATCTCTTATTTCTGAGAATGTATTGAAAACACGGTGAATTAAAAGAAACTGCTGAGCAAAATGTAACCGTGTGCTGCGAAGTTTAGTAGCACTTGTTTACATCACCACGATTCATGATTTACATGTAAGCATATACCAACACTTCGATTACTGGAGAAGTAATTTACCATATTTTGTAAATCGCTCTGAAGATGAAATCTTCATGCATTTAAATAACCTTTATCTTAATGTTGAGTTTAAAAGGAGATTTAGTCAACCAAAGGAACACTGAAGAGCTTTGAAGGACCGCTTGATTAAAACACCGCCATATCATTCTAACAAAATGATGTGAGAAAACAGCATTAGCCAAGTCACTAAGCTACTGTAAGTGTTCAATGAAAACAAGAGTTCAGCACCGTAAACAGCAGTGAAGCTATAAGGAAAAATGTCTGCTCTACAAATCAGAAGATACAATAGATAACAGCTCCAGTAGGTTCCTGTTTAAGCCATGTAAAATTCATTATTTCAAACTTTTTCGTCAATGAAGAACACGCTGAAAACTGAGGAAACTCGAACACAATTAGAACTGGTTTTGTAAACTTGGTTTTCCTGAGGAACTCGAGGCAACTGTTATACTAATTTCTTGGACTGCTTGGGCCAGGTCTTTATATTTGACCCATGTATAGGTCGGTGGTGATTTTTTGGGCTAATTTTTTGGTCATAAAAGGTCAACTTAAACACAGATAAATATGGTATGTCCCACATGTATTGATGCTCCTTTTCATTACATCAGCACCATCATGCATTTGTTACCTGGCATTAAAACAGAACTTGGCCTATTAAAGAGTTTGTTTACCTGGTCCATCCAACAGCCAGATTGCAGAGTAAAACAAGCATCTTTAAATACATCTGCTCAAAGCTTGGTCCACTTATTGACCCATCAGACATCTGACCTGGAGAAAAATAAGATGAATTTCACACTGATGAGTGTTAAACCAAAAAGGGGGAATGAATTCTTTGTTCTTCTTACAAGTCCTAAAACATTCTTTTAAAATTAATTCCCAAAAGTGATCAATAAGTACATGTAACCTCTCCCCACCACTTCAGTACTCAAGGTTATTGTCATCAAAAATCTGGTCAACATTTTCAAACTTTATTCAGAAAGTAGTAAAGTTTAATTTTCCAGAGAGAAAATAATTATTGCAAAATCTTAAAAAGAAGGTAAGATACAACTGAAAGAATGTTTTCCAGAAGCTGTGCCAAAGAGTGAAAGGTGTCATAACTGGAAAGGCCTCCAGGAGAGTGTTAATGTTTTCTGCAGACTTTTGTCCTGCATCTCAATTGGTATAATATTATGTTTCTAACCACATCTTCAACTGCACAAGAGAAGGGAATTTTCTGACACATTTTGTAACACGTTGAGAAATAAGTTAGAGTATTTGAAATTAATTTTTTCTTTTTCCCTACAATGTAACTACCTTGGCCCACTTTTATCTGTTTTTCCCAATTAATTTTTGGATTTGCTTTAATTCATTGTAAATTTATTTTTCCCGTTTTGCTCAGTGACCTTTCCCGCAAATTTCAAAGGAATTCTTCCTCACAAGACTTGCCAGGGAGTTTCATTGTGTTTCATTGGTTGGCAGCATGACTGCATTGACATGCACTTATGCGAGGTGTGAAGATTGAGAATTTCTTTGGAGGCCAAAAACTCAGTTTATTTTTATGTGGGTTACCCTAGATACTTAAATGAGCCAATAGGGTACACAGATTTGTTGAAATCTCACGAAAATTGGGCAGAATGTTCATCAAATAATAACACACCATAGTATGTGAGGCTTTTATGAAATAATGGAAATATTTACTATTGTCCACCTTCATACTAGGAGGAATTGTGGATTGTGTGTGGGTATATATGCAGAAAGTGGAGCTACGCTGTTGGTGGGAACATGGCGACGAGAAAAACACAAATAAATTAGTGGAATGAAAAGTGTTCGTTGATACCTATGGGATTAAGAATGCCGATTTGAAAGATAAACTTTTGTTCAAGAGTTTTGTGGCTTTCTGAGCTACCAAAATGTAAGGAAAGACCGCAGATTGCCATCTGTTGCTTAGAATGATTAGGCAAATTAAAATGTCCTAGTCACTCTTCCTACATCGCAAAGGTGTTTTCTGAATCGGTCACCTAGTCTTCCTGTTTTGCCGATGAATATCTTTTTGAAATAAGTGCAAGTTATGCGATAAGTGCAAGTTATGCAATAGATGATGTTGGCAGAGGTGCATGCAAAGTGAACAGTGATCTTAATGGATCATTTGGGTCCCAACATTTTCTCTGTGTTGTGAACAAAAGGACAAGTTTTGCATCATGCATGAGCACATTTAAGAGTGCTGGGTTTTTGTTGCATTTGAATGAAATGAGTGGAGGTCGCCAAAAGATAGTACCAGTCTCTGGGTTGTTTTGATTTAACTGACTGGTTGTGAGGGTGAAACGTGAGAGTGAATGCAATACGGTCAGAATGTTCATTCTGTGATGTTTGTACATATAGTGCTGACTGTCGATCAATAAGTTGGGCGTGGTGGTGACCCGCTTGAACGACAGAAACAGGGTAACCATGTTTTCTGAAAAACTGGCACATTGACTCTGATTAGTGGAAAAAAACAGTCATCACTGCATAAACAATGAAGTCTTTGAAACTGAGAAAAGGGCACGGAAATCTTAACATGAGTTGGATGCAAAGATGAATACAACAAGTAACTATATGAGTCTGTAGGTTTGTAATTCTAAGCAACATATGGCAATCTACAGTCTTTCCTTACATTTAGGTAGCTCGGAAAGCTGCAAAACTCTTGAACAAAAGTTTATCTTTCAAATCAGCACTCTTAATCCCATAGGTACCAACGAACACTTTTCATTCTACTAATTAATTTTATTACATGTTTTTCTCATCGCCATGTCCCCACCAATAGCGTAGCTCCACTTTCTGCATGTAAACCCACACACAACCCACAGTTCCTCCATTCGCCCTGACAAAGGGCTAACACTCAAAACATCAGCCTTTTAACTCATTACAGTGGCAAATTTACCATTTCAACTTAGTTGATAAAACCAAAAATTTAATTACCTAGTTACCCCCACCGACGCAGCACCACAGTTTCTTTACAAACTTTTACCCCCAACTTCAAACTAGATTTTCTCAGGAAAGGATAGAAATATTGGAAAAGCCTCACACACTTTGTTGGTCTATTTTTGCTGAGTGGTACAGTCCAGTTTGTTTGGAGATCTGAGGTAATGCGTAGGCTGGTAATTCAGTTACAGTAATTTCCGGCTGATTACCCACACGGCAGATTACCTGCACCCGCCAATTGTTGCATACAGCAGAAAAAAAAGTCAACAGATTACCCACACCAGTGGATAACCCGCACTTTATGTTCAGCGCCATGTTGACTTGTTGAACGAAAGTTTACAGGCCAAAGAAATTCAGACACCTGTACAATTCTGTGTCTATATTAGCATGTATTTTATTGTTAAAATGATATCATAAAAACAAAAACATTTTGTGCAAGCGATCGTTCAGTGCCATGTTGACTTCTTGAAAGAAAGTTTAAAGGCCAAAGAAATTCAGATGCGTGTTCAATTGTGTCTATATTAGCATGTACTTTATTGTTAAAATGATACGGTACAAACACTAAGATTTTGTGTGAGTGATCGTTCAGCGCCATGAATTTAGTTGAGTTTCACACCTATTATTTTCATTATTCTATTGATATGTGTGGGCTTTCAAACAACTGTCAGCAATTTTTAAAAAAAAATCGATATCTCGGGTTCTACTGGGCCTAATAGAGTCCCTAAAAACGGGAAAATTCTCCTCGGCTCAAGCTAACTAGTGTTAACTGGAAAATTGTTACTGATGCGCCGGATATTCTTGGATTATTTCTGTCATTGTGAAGGTTTTGTTTACACGGGTGCCAATAAAAATTTGTTCACACGCAACTAATTATGCGTGAAATAAACTCGAGTTGGCATCATGTTTTCGTGCTGCTTTGTGGCACTCTTAATACAATGAAATTAATTTGAGAGGTGGAAATGCAGGTAGGTGAGAATTTTTTTCAATTCAACAACCAGCAGATTCCAGCAGATTTTAAAATTGTCACATAACCCGCACCTCCCTTTTACTTGCAGTGGCACGTGTTTGATGCAAAATAAACAGATTACCCGTGGGTAATCGGCTGGAAATTACGGTAACAGTGCACTAGTTGATGGCACATGTAAATCAAATTCACAACTTTTTTGTAAAATAATTATTGTTATGTTCACATAAAAACATTTCTGCAAGGCTTGAATACAAACAGAGAAATCCTTAGGTTATTCCCTCTGGTTAGAAAAAGAAATACAATGATGCATTTTTTTCTGAACTTCTAACCCCAAGCTTCCTTTCAAACAATTTGAATTTCAAATTTAATTTTATCACCTGAGTTGATAATGTAAACTGGCCACTTAAGGAGTTTAAAAAGCTGACATTTTTAGCATTATCCCTTCATTATTTGCCCCCAAAAAACAATTTTTAAGATTGTACTGGAGGCTAATTTGGTGAATTTTCAACAATTTTGAAGATAAAATAATTACCTCATGACAGATTTGTTTCAGGGAAAATTATTGCTTCAAATTTCCAAGTAAACTATGATATGTAATTTTACATAATCTAAGGAAAAAAGTATTATTTCACTGGGTGTCATGAAATTTGTAGCATTTCATGGAATTAAAAGGTGAGTCCAAAAGGCTATATTGGAGAAAGACTTCTCTAAATCTGAGCCAATTTAATGTTAAACAAAACGGTTTGGCAAATGCACAGAGATAACAGTGATAAAGATTTTCAGGGCAGTCTGCCAAATATTATGTTATTTTGACAATTTTATCCACAAAAGATGAAAAAGAAATTAAGGTAGAGATCTAATACCTTTTCATTCCATCAATTTGTGGCGGACCATGGTGGCCCGTGTTGAAAATTTTTCATATCACGCAGTTTTGGTTTGCAAAGTATCAGATCAAAAGAAAAAATCTTCCCTAAGATAGTTCTGTTGCAGTGGCATGACACAATGTAGCTGCACTAATTAATTAATTTCCAAAAAGTAGCAACATCTTTGGCAGACTTTGTCTGAGAGCCCATGTCTACTTTCTTTCAGCGATACCTAGCTACCGCAATAAAAATAATGCTAAAGGGGTGATATACATACATGTAGATAGTCATAAACACAATGTTCATCTTGCTATTTTTCTTGGAAACCAATCAGAACATGAGGCTATAAACATTTGCACCATCAGTGGCAATGACACCTATCCTGCAGTGTCAAGACAACTTTGGGATCCAAAGTTTGAAAATTAACACAGTAGCAAGAGATGGAAAAGCAACACAAAAATAGAGGTCACAGTGAATGTTCTAGAATGTCTCTTACTGAAAGAAAAATTGACATTACTTGGCTGGAAACTGAATGTGTACATGTATGCAAATGTACAACTTTTCAAAATGTGCTTCAAAAACACAAGCAAAAGTAGCTCATTAGTATGTATGAGGCAGTCTTTTGTTTAACTCTTTCTTAAACTTTGAATGGTGAGTTAGCTTTACAACAAAGGAGAATTTCAGTGACGGTGACAAGACCAATATTAGCATTTGGAGTGAAGAAAAGAGAAAAGTTTTTTCCTGCTTTAACTATCTTTGAAAGCAAACAAGATCTGGAAAAATAATGTTAAAAAAAAATAGTTGGCGTAGGAGTTTAGGGCCAGTGGCTGGCCGAAAAACTTGAATCGTTAGCATTCATTTCTACTGTTCTATCAGGTTGATTTAGGGTTCAAAGGATAAGCAAAGAAAATCAGATTTCATGCTGTTTGTCATTCACGTTTAACATTATGTTTAAATACTTGTTTGTTTACATGTAGGCAAGACTACCCCTAATGTTCAAC